TTAATTTTGCACTAAAAGGTGTAGGCGAAGATAATATACTTGACTTAAGAAGGGGCGCAAATGCGTCGAAAAGCGCAGATAGCACGTTTGATATAGGCAAAATGAATTTTCTTTTTTATAAATAAATGCAGTGCAGCAAAATTAAAGTATGCATACTACGTGTACTATGTGCCAATTGCAAAATATGTGGAATATGTCGCACAAGATAGCTATGAATATAAATCCAATTCTTTTGTCTAACGGATGAAAATGTCAGAGTGTTCAAACTGAAGTGAAGCTTTTGCCTCTGCATTATTTGTTTTTTACAGAGTATTTTTTCCTTATTACAACGTCAAACAGTAACAACACATAATTTGTCTCAAACGCAGGTGATAGCAGCTTACTGTGCAAAGAACAGCTAGATGTCTCTTAAAATCAAGCATGTAAGCTTTGTATGAGAAACCATTCACTTGAGAACAGTATAGAGGCAGTGAATTTGCCAAGGTTCCTTTCTTAACTGCTTATCCTTTCAAAAAAGCAGACATCGTGCTATGTTTCCCGAAAAATCCGAAGTTTATTGGAATTTTGCCTGTAATTATACGCATTTTTGGGCACCTATGCGGGACTGAATTACGTTTTGGGTAGAATATTATGAGGTTGGCCTGATATTTTCCAATAACCATAGAATTTTTTTAATGAAAAACAAAAAAGCGTATCCAATACTACTACTAATAACAATACTAGCACTAGTCCTCATGACAGCAAAAATTAGCAATTGTAATAAAAAAACCAGAAATAAAAGTTGAAAAGGACATAATGCCAGGTTGGAAGAATTGGCACAAGAAGATAACATAGCAGGCTAAGTGGTTTTTCCGTCGAACATGCTGCAAAATTGTTGCTTGCCGTCTTGGTAGAAGGTCTGAAAGAATTTTCAGGTAAAAAATTGTTGCAAGACTTTCGGTTGAACCCACCATCATTTCGTTCTAAGATTTGATTTCGCGCTTTCTTCTCACTTTTTTGGTCAAAGATTAGTGGTCGTAGCTTATCTATAGCTTGCCGCATTGTGTTATTCATGAGATATTTTGGCACCAAAGTCAAAAATATGGCCATTGACAAGTATAAGCTACTAGCTACCCGGTTACGCTCTGCTGTTTCAGAGTATTCAATAGTTGTCTGATTTAAATTAATTTTTCTTCTGTAAGGAGCACAGTTTAGTTTTCAGAATTCCAGAATCAAAATTCTCTCTTAGCAAATCTTGGTTGAAAATAGTATCGTACTGCTTAGTATGTCAGCACATTTTTGCATTAATTGGTAGCCGACGAAAAAACCACGAAATTAGTGAATTCAAATGAGAATCGTACTCGTAATCACCCTGTTA